ATAATTTTATTTATAAATTGTTTTATTTATAATAATTTTAAAAGAAATTTATTTAGTTAAATAAATGTAAATAAATTTAAATACATCTTACTATATTATAAAAAACTATTTTTTCTATTTCCCAATTTTTAATTATATTTTTAATACCTAAAAATTATTATATTTTTAAAGAGTTTTGTTTTTTTTACAAAATTTCCTTGTTTTATTAAATTGTGGTTCAATATTTTCTAGTTTTTCTTAAAGTCACTTTTTTAAACAAATTTCCAATATTTGTTTAACATATCACCAAAGTTGTCCTTTTTTAAGTATAACTTTTTTAAGTTTATTTTAGTTTTTATTTATATTTAATTTAGGAAAAAAATGTTTTTAATTTTAACAAAAATTTTAAGAAATATATGTATTTCTTAAATAACGGTGAAAAATATCTAGCCTATAAATTAGTTGGAGAATAAAATTATTATGTTACACATTTAACACATTATTTATTTAAAATTTTTAAATAATAAACAAATAAGTAGGAAATTATTACACATTTAGGTAAAAATAATTTTATACCCACATACATTTGTTTTACAAGCGTAAAATGCATAAAATCAAGCTATACGTGAGTCAGAGATAGTAAGTGTGTCCCTTGCCTGCATAGTGGCGCCCTCACCTTCGGCGACGGTCAAAGTTGTAACTAAATATTCTCGACTCTTATTTCACGTTGCAACGTGAACTTAATCGTTGTGTGTAATGAATTTATTTCGATCTACCTAACAATAAATAAAGTTGAACTCTTGCTTTGGTACTTTAATTAAATTTACAAATCAATAAAAAATTATAAACAAAATAAGAAAAAAAAAGTTTATTATGTATTTAGTTTAAATTAATTTTTATAGCAGTAAACATTAAAATATTATTAAAACGACCATATTAAAATTTTTTTAATGGTTTTCCTAATTTTTACTGTTTGCAGTTTTGTATTTTAAAAATATAATTATTTATTAAAATATAATATATAATATAAATTTTTAATCGATTAGAATGGGGTTTTCTTAATATTTTATTATACTTACATATGTCGATTTTCTCATTTTTTTAAATAAACTGTGTTTTGAATAAGAAAGAAAGTTTGTAAAACGATTTTATTTTTATTTTATATTGATTTGTTTTTCTAAATTTCACAGTTTTATATTTTTACATTTTAATTTAAAAATAATTATTTATAATAATTTTTAATTAAAATATAACTTATAATAATTATAACAATTATTGTAGGTATAACTTTTAATGTTTATTATTTTATGTATTTTTAGTTTCTCTGTTTTTCTTCTTATTTAATTTTAGGTTTTTTTAATAAAAAATAGGGATTTAATTTTTTTAATTATTTTTTAGTAATAGTATAATAATAATAATTTGATTTTTTTAATATTTTAAAATTTTCATGTTAAAATAATTATGATTTTTGTTTCTTCATGTTTTTTTTAATTTTTAATTATATTTTTCTTAGCATAAAATTATTATAATTTTAAACCAAAGTTGTCATTTTTTAAGCATTACTTTTTTAAGTTTATTTTTGTTTTTATTTATATTTAATTTAGGTAAAAATATGTTTTTAATTTTAAAAATTTTAAAAAAAAATATATGTATTTGTTAAATAACGGTGAAAAATATCTAGTCTATAAATTAGTTGGAGAATAAAATTATTATGTTACACATTTAACACATTATTTATTAAATAATTTTAAATAATAAACAAATAAGTAGGAAATTATTACACATTTAGGTAAAAATTATTTAATACCCACATACATTTGTTTTACAAGCGTAAAATGAATAAAATCAAGCTATACGTGAGTCAGAGATAGTAAGTGTGTCCCTTGCCTGCATAGTGGCGCCCTCACCTTCGGCGACGGTCAAAGTTGTAACTAAATATTCTCGACTCTTATTTCGAACGATTAAGTTCACGTTGCAACGTAAACTTAATCGTTTTGTGTAATGAATTTATTTCGATCTACCTAACAATAAATAAAGTTGAACTCTTGCTTTGGTACTAAATTTACAAATCAATAAAAAATTATAAACAAAATAAGAAAAAAAAAGTTTATTATGTATTTAGTTTAAATTAATTTTTATAGCAGTAAACATTAAAATATTATTAAAACGACCATATTAAAATTTTTTTAATGGTTTTCCTAATTTTTACTGTTTGCAGTTTTGTATTTTAAAAATATAATTATTTATTAAAATATAAAATATAACTTATAATCCTAACTTCGATTAAATTTTTAATCGATTAGAATGGGGTTTTCTTAATATTTTATTATACTTACATATGTCGATTTTCTCATTTTTTTAAATAAACTAAATAATTTGAAAAATCGTTATAATTTAAATTAATTATGTTTTGAATAAGAAAGAAAGTTTGTAAAACGATTTTATTTTTATTTTATATTGATTTGTTTTTCTAAATTTCACAGTTTTATATTTTTACATTTTAATTTAAAAATAATAATTTATAATAATTTTTAATTAAAATATAACTTATAATAATTATAACAATTATTGTAGGTATAACTTTTAATGTTTATTATTTTATGTATTTTTAGTTTCTCTGCTTTTCTTCTTATTTAATTTTAGGTTTTTTTTAATAAAAAATAGGTATTTAATTTTTTAATTATTTTTTTTATTTTTATTTTTTATCGAAATTTTAAAATATTTATTTAAAGTATTAGTATAATAATAATAATTTGATTTTTTTAATATTTTAAAATTTTCATGTTAAAATAATTATGATTTTTGTTTCTTCATGTTTTTTTTTAATTTTTAATTATATTTTTCTTAGCATAAAATTATTATAATTTTAAACCAAAGTTGTCATTTTTTAAGTATTACTTTTTTAAGTTTATTTTTGTTTTTATTTATATTTAATTTAGGTAAAAATATGTTTTTAATTTTAAAAATTTAAAAAAAAAAATATATGTATTTGTTAAATAACGGTGAAAAATATCTAGTCTATATAAATTAGTTGGAGAATAAAATTATTATGTTACACATTTAACACATTATTTATTGAATAATTTTAAATAATAAACAAATAAGTAGGAAATTATTACACATTTAGGTAAAAATAATTTAATACCCACATACATTTGTTTTACAAGCGTAAAATGCATAAAATCAAGCTATACGTTAGTCAGAGATAGTAAGTGTGTCCCTTGCCTGCATAGTGGCGCCCTCACCTTCGGCGACGGTCAAAGTTGTAACTAAATATTCTCGACTCTTATTTCGAACGATTAAGTTCACGTTGCAACGTGAACTTAATCGTTGTGTGTAATGAATTTATTTCGATCTACCTAACAATAAATAAAGTTGAACTCTTACTTTGGTACTTTAATTAAATTTACAAATCAATAAAAAATTAAAAACAAAATAAGAAAAAAAAAGTTTATTATGTATTTAGTTTAAATTAATTATTATAGTAGTAAACATTAAGCATATTATTAAAACGACCATATTTTAAATATTTTTTAATGCTTTTCCTAATTTTTACTGTTTGCAGTTTTGTATTATAAAAATATAATTATTTATTAAAATATAAAATATAACTTATAATACCAACTTCGATTAAATTTTTTATCGATTGGAATGGGGTTTTCTTAAAATTTTCTTATATTTATGTCGATTTTCTAATTTTTTTGGATAAACTAAATAATTTAAAAAATCATTATAATTAAATTAATTATGTTTTGAATAAGAGAGAACGTAAAACAATTTTATTTTTATTTTATATTGTTTTGTTTTTCTAAATTTCACAGTTTTATATTTCTACATTTTAATTTAAAAATAATCATTTATAATAATTATAACAATTATTGTGGGTATAACTTTTAATGTATTTTTAGTTTCTCTGCTTTTCTTCTTATTTAATTTGAATTTTTTTTTTAAATTTAATTTTTTTCTTTTTTTAATCATTTAATTTCCATAAAGATAATTTTTATTTATTAAACATTTATTTATTTTAATAATAATTTGAGTTTTTTAATATTTTAAAATTTTCAGTTTTGTTTCTTCATTTCTTTGTAAATTTTAACCAAATTTTAATTTTATAATTTTTTATAATTGCTTATAATAAAAATAAGAAATGAATCAATTTGTTCCTCATTATATCATATTTTATATTTTAATTTATAAAGTATGTACCTAGGTATTATTTTTTTTTAAATATTTATATTTTCTCAGAATACATTTTTTTAAAAGTAGAAAAAATCTAAATGTATTCAATAAATGTCTTTTTTGCCCGTTATAATTATATTTACTAATTCCCTTAAGTAATAAATAAACTTATACGTGAGTCGAAATCTCTATCTGTATGGTGCTGCCCTCGCGCGAGTGTCGGGAAGGGGAAACTCGTCTATACACTGAGACTGCTTGCCGTGTCGCATTCAGTCGCGCACCAAACTCGCAGTTGGCGTGTTGTGTAGTACTTACGATAATATTTCGTAGATAAATTACGCCAAGTATTTAAAGTTTTCCGAAGTCACAAAAATTTTAGATAACGTGTTTTTTAGCAATAAGAAACGTTTCTAGTCGGTTTTTAGCGATTTAGTGAATTTTTTACGAAAATTTTTTGAACTTTCCAAAATCTCAAGATTTTGTTAAAAAGATAGAAATTTTTGCTGAGACAGTTTCAGAAGATTTGTGAGAAATTGGTGCAAAAACATTGAACTTAAAATCTTAAAGGTACAAGTGTTTGGGTCATATCAGCTGTGAGTAAATCTCGCGCATGCTTTGCCCCACCACCGCGCTTGGAGGGGATAAAACAGCTGACAGTAAGATACAAACTCAAAACATCAAATTTTAGTTGTCAGTAGCTCGGTTAGCCTTCTGGTGTTCATGTCAAATATGCTAAGTAAAGTCGAGTGCTAAGGGCACTTGAGGACTTAGACAAATTTTCAGAAAACTTTTAGTGAGCGTTGATTACTTTTGGTGAAGTGATTGTGAATTTTATTTTGGATATGGTGCCTCAACAAAATATGGATGCACGATCAGAAAGTCCAACCAGCAGTGGACAGCCCTTATTTGGATCCCAGCTAGTTGACAAAAATTCTTCAACCCCCTACTCTGACGCAACTCAGGTAGGTCTTCGAAAATTTTACAGTGATTGTGTTGTTAGTGATTTCGGCCTTATCACATTTTCTAATTTTGTGGAAAAATTATTTCAAAAAATTTAGTGTACTCGTGATTGGATCACTTTACATGGGGTAAATACTATAATTTTTACTAAAATCAAAATTTAGTAGCAAAGTCAAACTTAGAAAAAACAAGTCACCCAACTTGCATGATTACCGGCAACTTAGAGAAACAATCCAAAAAAATAAATCAAATATTTTAATTTTAATGAACTCAAGAACATGTTTACCCGTACTACAAAATTACTTTAAAAATAAAATAAAATTTTTCAAAATAAAGATAAAATTTTATCAAAGTTCGAAACAATTTTTTAAACCAAACACAAAATTGTATAAAAAAACAAAATAATAATGTTAAATTCTCTAAATACCTAAACAAAAAATATCAGCTCCAAAAAAATCCAATATTTACAAAACACAGGATGTTTAACACCGAAAAAAAATTACAGAAATGGATTAAAATAAAAACAAACAATATTTCGGTCGCACCGATAAGAAAGTTGTTTTAGGAAATTAAAAATAAACATCAACCAGTAGCCAAAATAAAAATTGTTGATAGCTACATAAAACAAGCTAAAATAAAAATAGTGAATCATTTCCCTACAAATCTGGTCAATAACATTTTATTAGACAACCTGTGTTATGCATTATTATTAAAATTAAAACTTATCGGTAAATTTCGAAGTCGTTTAAATTGATAATAAAGCGAGATTATTTCGAGCAATTAGGAACTACAAGGTTAATTAGTTGAGCTTAAATAAAAGGGTGATTAACTTTATTTTATTTTATTGCTATAGTTCACCTTATCTGTTTGTTCGGTATTTTTAGAACGCGCTGTTTCTATCTAGACAGTGTGGCTTTCATAAAGATAAACAGCAATGTCAAAACAAACACATATTGTATATCGTGGAAAAATTTATAGGTAATTAATGGTAAAATTTTGTTGAAAAACAATATAATATAATTAGACTTTCTATGAGTGCATAAGTATTCTGCTAAAATGTTGTTATTATATTAGCAACAATTTAGCAAAACTGCAATCAGCTGCTGGCGCGAGGTACATAACATTTTCAAGGTCCCTGAGTCATACGTACATTTTCTCATAGATACAACATGTAGAAATATCAGTAATTGTTAAAACTAATTTATCCTTGACAATAGCATAAAAAGTAAACCAACTTTTTGTTAATCGTTATTTTACATGTTCAGATTTATTAATTCGATATTTCACAAGTTAAGTAGGTAATAAATATGGTTAATTTTTTAAGTTTTTTTTTACCCAAGTTGGCTGCTGCATGTAGTAAATAAAGATCAAGGATTTTTACTTTCTAGTAAATTATATGTTTATTATCAAATTGCAGGTTTACAATAGGTTTCTATTAAAATGTTGCAAAATGTTTGTGTAAAAACTGTGTTTTGTGATTTTTACAATATTAGATTTATTTTAACTTAAAAATGTAGGATTGGAAATTAAAATACATTGTTAAAATACTTAAAAACTAATATGTAAACTGTTGGAGAAAAATCCAAAAACGTGTTTTAAGTAAAGAATTGGAGTTAAAAGCTGATTAAAATAAAACCATAATGTGTTAAAATATATAAAAAGTTACTTATAAAATTTATCCTCAAAAGTTGAAAAAACATTGAAGTTTAAGAAATCAGATTTTTTTTCCTGAAATTTGAAAAAAATGTTGGTATTTAAACAATAAGAAAAATTATGTGTAAATTTGAACAAATAATATTAAAAATCGTATATATTAAAAACATAAGGTCCAAAATATATTGGAATTTGGAAAAACCTCGGGAAAAACCTAATAAATAAATTTAATTAAAAACATAAAATTAGTAATTTTAAATTACCAAGGAGTAAGTACCTACCTACTGAAAATTAATTTATAAAATATAAATGCCATTAAAAATATAAAAATCTCATAAAAAGTGGTTTGGTACAGTAAAACAATTTTAATCATCATTCCAAAAGTAATAAACTACAAGTTTTAATATGCAGTTGGATAATATTATCTAGTGTAATACTATACTTTTTCTATTCCAATAAGTAGATTATTAAATGTTTTTCTCGATTTTTATGTAAGAATGTCATATTCTCGCACGCAAAATCGTTGAAGAATGAAGCTCATTCTTAAACGATTTTTGGTAACATTTAGTTTTTAAGTATTGGTACCCCCAAAATGTCAAACTGATTAATAACCTCAAATTCATTACTTTTATTGAAAATGAAGCCTTTATTATTGTTTTGTAATATTAAGTTTGCTCCAACAATGCATTTTAATGCAAAATTTTAAGTTTAATGTAAAAAAGTGCAGTTCAGGTTGTACTTGTGCAGGATAACAAATATTGTCATTTTGTGTTGCCAACTGCCATTTTGCGAGAAAAATCCCCTAACTAACAACGACCACAAAACAATTAAAAAAACCTAAATAAAAGTTAAAATCGAGAAAATAGTATAAATCACACGTTGCAGAAGGCTATTCTGGCACTCATTCGTTCGTCCACTCGCTCCTTCGTCGCTCGAGGCCAAATTTCGAATTCGTGCGAGAATATGTGGCCTTCTGCAACTTGTACTTTAATATACTATTCAAAATTAAATAATTAAAATCTGACATCTGTCAAATGGTTAACGTTACTTTTTACCATGTTATTCTCCCAATTTAAAACCCGATTGGTTCAAATCACAGTGAATTTTGAAATCGGCTAATCGCTGAATAATAGTTCATTATTTCCCCTGTTAGGCAGGTAATTTATAATGGTTATCTATATTCACTAAAAAAAAACAAAATTATGCAATAGAAGTAGATAAAGCAATTTATTTAATTTAGTTCTGTAAAAAATTAATTTTAAATTTAAAACATAAAATCAGAGAAGTAGATTATTCGAGAAACCGGTTTATCAACTTTATTGGTACATTATTGGAGCAGCTCGCAGCGCGCTTTTAAGCGCTCGTGAGAGAGTTATTGAAGGTTATGATTTTTTCCATCTCACGCCCCATAGGAAACATTTTATATCGCCCGTGAACGACCAGGTACATAATTAAGTTTTCAATTATTAGATTTTGCTTTCATTTCATATTTTACAATAAGTAGGGACACATTTATCATATTAACATGGCGAACGAGAAGTCCTTATAAAATATCTAATAACCACACTTAGGCTAAGGCATAAGAACTGGTTTTAAGAATAAATCAAACAAGCCTGAAGAAACAACAGCACGACCGAACAACTAACAGAGATATGAGGTAGATCGTAGCAGGTCATACGGTTCATGGACTACTAGATAGACGTTAAAAAACTTCCTCCTATTTTTATTATTTCTGAACACGGTAAATTTTACGTACCTATATAATTTGCGCAATTAATGGAGTTACAATGTACCGAGATTTATGTTATCGAATGACGTGTGCTGTTTCGATAAAAATGCAAAAATGTGCACTCGGCTTGCGTAGTTATAGATGTAACTAACTTAGTGGCGGATAAGTATGTATTTTTTTAAATTTAGCTTGACTTACTAGTAAGGCCATCGGGTTTCCTTTAGTGGTGCTCGCACAAAACACAACAAATTCGAAGGTTTATTTATCCACACTTAATTCGACCTTCTGTGGATGATATCGCTATTATTTCCTGCAAGGAAACGCGTAATTTAAACACATGTACCCGTTTGAATTTATTTAAATTGTACATCTAATTATGTGCACCTTGAATTAGTTTTCAAGTTTATCGATTTTATTTCAAGTTCTTACACCGGAAAAATTTCAATTAACCACATGCAACAACAGGATCCTTTTTTGCCAAATTAAGACCTACATATTAGGTCCTGGTCTAAATACAAAAAACATTTATTTTTTCTGTTTTTGGAACAATTATTTTGGATAGAAAAAAAATGTAATATAAATTAGACTTGAAAGATTAGAAAAAAAGTTTTTTTGTTAACAATTAATCAAATAAATAATCTATTATTGTTCGATCGTTAGTCATACCGATAAGATCTTGATAATTAATTTTGGCCTCATAAAATTTTGCAATTGGGTACTTATACGATATAAGTAATAAAACAGCGATTGCGTATTACTTTCCTGTATATTTTTAGGGGCATCATTAAAAAAAGCTGTACGTTAATCTGCAATAACTTACAATAACGCTTGGTATATAGAACAAAGTAGATAACGTTTCTGAATAATCGGATTATAGGAAGCTGTTAGTCCAGTCATTAGGGTAATTAAAATGGCCGTAACGCGTTGTCGGGGAGTCCGCTAGAGGGCGCGATTATCTAGTGAAATATCCACAACCAACTTTAATCTATAGTAAATTGTGTATCGATTCGTCGTTTTTGCTGCATACTTTTCGAGTTATGAACCCTAATGCTTTTTAATGTTTCGATTCGATATTGAAAAATGCTTTGACGGGGCTAGCGCACAAAATTTAATCAATGGTGTTTTTTTTTTTCGAGGAATAAAGTATCATTCGTGTTTCGGTTGCAGAATAACAGATGAATTACAGTTTTCTATTATTTAAGTTTTAGTCTAACACGAATGGAAATGTAGACTACTAACGATTTCAATTTCCTGACAACAATTTCGTTTATGCAAATTTGAACTGCATGAAAGGCTCTAGTAACGCTCCTTTTGTTCCAGAATGTTTGCGGCGAATTTAATTAATTTATAGCAAAGTCTTTTTGCAGAAAGGATTACTTTTACTCGCGCCATTTTTGCGATTAATTTGAATTTCAAAACGATCCGTTTAAATGAACACACACAGACAGATTACTAAATAACAACCGTGTAAGCAAATGATTATTATTATTATATGTTATTTTCCTCGATTTCATTTGTTTCATCAATTTTAATTACAGGAGAATAATTAGCACTTTGATTTTTATTAATATTTACCAAAGCATCGATGCGTTTCAAATCGGCATAATTATCAATGTGGGCCAAGGTGCAACATTATAGCAATCATCATTGTCTGTTTTAATTAAATGTTTCGCAACCGCGGTAAGTGAAACGTGTTGGAAGATTTTAAACACCGAAATCATCGCACACGCTTCATGTTTTCGACCTTTTAACTTCTTTTTTATTGCATTTTTTTCTCATGAACCGCGGCAGAGTCATTACCTATCTACCGGAATAATTCAACAACAGTTATACGTTTGCCATAATGACGCCATTTGGCAAAATAAAACAGGCAGTTCAGAAAATTAATTAACTGTTACGTGAAATCGTTTTCGGCACGAGCCCATAACCGAAATCAAAATTCAGAATTCGGCCGATGTCTGCAAAAACATGCAAACTCATCGACATGTGCGTGAGACAAATGCCAATCATTTGTGCGTGTCTTCCATGACGTCGCTTGCACACGTGATGCGGTTTCGTCATGAGGAAACAACTTTGCAAAAAATGTATCTGCATTTCTTATTTATTCTTATCAAACAAGATATTCGAAGGATTAATGTTTTTTATGCCAAGGACATACATCGATGTCACACTGTGTTTGCTTATAAAAAAAATACTAACCTTCTTGTGGATGTGGGACAGCATTTACCCTACTGCGCTTTCAATCACAACCCCCCGTTGCGTGCACTTTCCGGAATAATATTTCCGTTTTTAACATAAATAAATATTCTAAAAGCGATCCCCAACAATACAAGATGTTAAGCCCACTGAAATTTTGAATGCTAATGAATTCTTTAATCCTAAAAAAGAAATTTATCATTTTATAAGAAACGTTGCTATGAATATTTAAATAAAAATTAATTAAATATTCTTCGGATAAAGTAAGTTACAAAATGACGGAGCACTCAGTCTAATTAAAGCCAGCATAAAACTTTCATTCTCGATTCGGCAAGAGTTAATATTCTCTGTTTTTCCTTCTCTTCCGAATTAATCTAAAATTATACGCAGTAAAACTAACACGCAGTTTTCCTACGTTGTTCCTTATCGTTCCACGAGGGGATTAGGTTTAGGCTGACTGCCCTAAAGTGCGTGAGTTGTAGGATATAAAGTAACTTGGAGGTGTGATAAGTTAATGTATCATGTCTATTGGTAATGTTCACGAAAATACATTAACTCCGTATTTTAGAATAATGCGCATTCGAACCGCAATCGCTTTTTTTCTCGAGGGTAAATAATTACAACATTTATTTTGCGCTCCTACTTTTAATTAATTTAAAACGTGCATTATGATAATAAAAAATAATTGTTTCAGAATTCAGAAAACATGTCAGTAAATCTTGAAAAATAATTATTTTTATTCAGGTTGTTTTCATTTGTTTTGTTTAAGCCTAAAGAGTCCAATTTCGTAATGACCGTATCAGCAATGAACCTGGACGCTGCCAAGACATTAAATTTAATGGGATAGAACCCTGCAATAACTGCGATTTTCTGTCTAAATATACTTTTGCAGTCGGCAGGCGGGATAAAACTCGGGAATGCTTTATGCTTCAGGTTTTGCTCGGCTCGCTCCTCTAAGGTCAATTATACCATTCCATTATATCGCAATACACAACCCTACTCATTTTTACTTGTTCGCCTTTTAACTCCTATCCATTGTTTCAAAATATATTATTATTACTATAAGAAAAAAAATAAACAGTTTTACGTATTAGATTTTAATCGTTGGGAAATTCTCCATTCAAACAATGCATTCTTCAAGACGATAATGCGTACCGCCGATACGGATTGTATAACATAAGAAACTGATTTCAATTATATTTTAAGTAGAGAATCTCATTAACGCGGACTTTAATTATTCAATAAGCACTCACGCGCTGTATACTACATAGACTAATTGTAAAAACATCACGTATAGGTATAGCAATTGAATCCTTGACGTAAGGAGAACGTGAGGACAAACTTTTAATGCTACCGGTTTCCGGGCTTGCGCAGATGCAAAGGATCCGATGTGAAAGGACATCGGCCATATTAAGGCGGTATTACTGTTTTGTCCTTGCTCTGTACTTTGATATTTGCAAAGAGATAGTATATTTAAATTTGCCCAGTCACGATCACAACCATAATAGAAAATGTGATATATCCGTATTATTATGATTGAATTTGTACTTATTCGATTTTTTTCTTTGTTACAGACTAAAAAGAATAATCCCAATCATATCAAGAGACCAATGAACGCGTTCATGGTGTGGTCTCAGATTGAACGCAGAAAAATTTGCGAAGTTGCACCAGACATGCACAACGCAGAAATCTCCAAAAAGTTAGGTAGGCGCTGGAAGCAATTGCCAGAAGAAGAAAGAAAGCCCTTTATCGTAGAGGCAGAGAAGCTCCGACAATTGCACCAAAAAGAGTATCCGGACTATAAGTATCGTCCGCGAAAAAAGACTACCAAACCAGCCCCAAAAACCACCACCACCACCACAACTAAGAAGGCATCTAAGAAGTCGAGCCCCAAGGTGCAAAAGAACGACACAAACAATAACATGTCTTCTATAAAGGAGAAACTGTACGCCAGACGCGTATCATTAAACAATCAACAAGAATCGGTAGCTTCGAAGCTCAAGGGACGACTTACAAGCACCTTCGACAACCAGATGGAGTTCACGCAGAGTTTGCCAGTGGCAACGCTGCCGCCGATCTGCATGTTGGCTAAAGTACCGTCGAGTCCTTCCTGCGACAATCCCGATTCGCCCGAAAGCGCAACAATTTACGACGATTCGCTGACAAATTACAATTTGGTGAAAGACGAACCCGACGTAGAAGATAGAATTATGATGGATGACACTACCACCTTAGAAGATTTGGACCGACTAGTAGAACTTCTGCCCATGGAAGATAACGAACTAGACATACTTGGCGGTCCTTTCGATACCAACTTCGATTCGGCCTCAAATAGTTCCGGATCGCATTTAACCTTCGCCCTACCTCGGGAATTCCCTCCTAACTTCATAATGGACCCAAACTGGAGCGAACTAATGATTAACGATTGTTGAAGGAGAGCTTAAGACTGTCAGGTTCAAATCAATATAAACACATTGTGTAATGTCGGCGGCACAATCATCGTTTCTTACATAGACACCGAGCACTCGGTGCAGTCCAAACGATGTGGCAGAATACGAAAGGGCCACTTTGCCACTATTTTATATTAATAATTATTATTATTTAACCCCAATAATGATCTCATTTGTGTTATTTTTGTATTTATCATATAGCGCGGTCACTATCTAAGTTCAGTCATCTCAATACGTGTTTCCGGATTCAACCAGTTGTTAGTGCCTAGCTCAGTATGTCCTCAGTATAAGTGACATAAGTTTTCGAAAACTTAATTCCCCGACGAAGGCGATCGCCCTTCGCGGGACACAAAATCAGGCTGTGATTCATCTGTTTGATGACCAATACTTAGTTGTCAAAGAAAAAAATAAACAAGCATAGTGTTTAAAACAGTTATGCTACTGCTTACTCATTCATCGGTCCGGGTGCATTTAGCCGTTGCTTGCGGCAAACAGCTGATTGTTTTCTTACTGCCTACCGGACGAGTCGTTTCAACCCTTGTCAAGAACCGTCTTAATTTTCGCCGACGATTCGCGTCCGGTACACATTATCACTGGTTAGGTTATCCCTGTATATCGTACTACATACATTTTCATCATTATCATCATAATAAATGTTATAAACTTAATCGTCGGCGCGCCAATGGTCGTTTCCGCACGAAACCACGCTTTGTCAGTGATTTGAATTTTTAGTGGTGTCGCTGAAGCGGCCAGTGGCGCGTCACCATACGTTTTGATTCGTTCGTCCAGAATTGTACTTAATACCCTTAAAAGGAATAAAAAACTGTACTGTACAGCTGTAAGATTAAGTAAGCACTGTGGGTTGTTAGTAGTAGGAGTCGAAATTAACAGTAAAGTAAGATATCCAGTAGGCTAGGGTTGTTTGTGCTGCTATTAATGACTCGGGCATTCAGTAAACTACTTCGTTTGTTGTGCACACACAATCTTTCTTTAATAATCTGTTGTATATAATACCAATACATAAAAAACAATAAGTATCTTGTATATGCGCCTCCTTTCATCTTTGTCTATTACGTACTATTTTTTGATTTTTGATTCTCGTGCAGACGATCAGCATGTTTCTCATACGCTTATTTCATTTCGATAGGAATTTTAAAAAGTCAATGCACAAACTAAATAATTATGAAATAAATAAATAGTGTATAACGTTTTTGAACTTACAACTTAGAGTAGCGTGCGACATCGATATTCTTATATATGATATTGAAAAGGCGCTGATGAGCGCCCTAAGTGTGCTTTCAATGTACTAGAATAACTTTATAATAATATTAAAGTTAGATCGGACTGTCCGTATATTTAAGAGTTTTCGAATTTTAAAATTTTATGAGGCCTGGTACAGTATGAAAAAGTAGAGTAACATATTCGGTGTATTTTTGTACCCATTGATTGTTTACACGGTTCGTATGCACAGCTTTTCCCGTTGCGGATTGCTGACTGATTTAGATGTAGGAACTTTAGTTAAGCCGTACTGTTTATCAGTTGATAATAATGTTGTTTTTTGCAACTGTTTTTGGTTCGACTGCCGCAATGGCCTAAGGTGTGCATACGCTATTCGTTCTTGTACATATATTGTATAAATTTGCTCATGTAAAAATTGTTTTTGTTAAAATGTACTGTTTACGCAATCATTTTCAATTATTGCAATAATTATCTTAGTCTTCGCCAACAAATGTCCACTGATCTTGTCCAGATTGCCTGGCGCGCTGGATCGATCAGTCGACAATTGTTGTCGCGATTTTACTTTGTAAAAATATGTTATTTTGTCGCATTGTTGACTTTTATTCTGGCGAACGATATAAGAGATTACAAAGTTAGCAATATTTTTGCAAATTACCTTGATGTATCATAAATCCTCCTTGCATTGTAAATCCCCATGTATTATATCCATATACTATATTAAAGTTATTATATAGTGTGTAAATTTTGTATTGTAGTTGCTGTTAAATATATTATTATATGGCCAATAAACTGATTTTTTCAATTTATATCACTTATTATTTATATTTAAATCCCTAAATCCTCTCCTAAAAATGCAAATATAAAATTATATCTAATATATAGCAAAATACGGTATGTATAATATTTTTTTAGGATAAAATGTTTTAATTTTTAAATTATTTTATCGATCATTTTATTTAGTAAAAGAAATCGTGGGAAAGTAAAATATTTTAACATTTTAAAACCTTATAATGTTTTAAGTTTTAAATTATTTTTATTTTTTTATTTCATTTTTAACAAAAATTTCGTGAGAAAAGTGCCAAGTTTAAAAAAGGCAGGACAATTACCCAAAAATTAATATTTTATTGGGCAAACAAGGTATTCTGCAGGGATTTAAATAAGTCGGTAGGTAAGACAAAATGACATAACAAATATTTGAGTGGTATTATACTTTTCTGTTGATACTTAAAATAGATGGCCTGTGAAACAATGAGCTTTACGGTCAGAAATAGTATATTATGTATCAAGTTTGATAAACGCCATTTTATACACGAATTTAATTTAGGCACGAGCGAGTGCTTAAATTAATGAGTGTATAGAAAAGTTTATAAACGAGGTGCATGGTATACTTTTTCTACGACAAATCCTTATTATATCTTAAAATGATTTAAATCAAAAATTTGTATAGGGCGCCATCTATGAAACAATAGGGGAATCTGTGTGTCACCGTCAAATGTCAAATTTTATAAACACAGATTATAAAGGTTATAAATCGAAATGTATGCCCGAATTTAAGTTATAGATTACTGCCGGCGAAATTAAAAGGTCAGTACAATGTTCATATAAAATTTTCAAATATTGGCGTTGAGAAACTATTTAATACTTTAATTTTTTTGTATTGAGATAATAAAATAATGTTCACATTTAGTATTATTTTACAAGAACGGCACATTATTTTAACGATTGTATGAGATTTGACAAATGTCAACTAACTTAAAACTAACTTCAGCCCGTGACTAAAAACCTGTTGCTAACTTCAGCCCCTGACCAAAGCGCCATAAAGCCACAACTTGTCAATGTGTATTTAAAAGGTCACTTAGTGTCATGGAAACATGTACGATAAAGGCCGTTTTAAAGGTGGGAGTAGAAAAGATATTTTAAGTAACCTTTAGGATATCTGATATTAATTTGAGCAGTAGAATTATTAGTTGTCCATTGAAATTAGTGGAAAAATAATAATGTTAACTTAAGCTAGATATACATATAACTATATCTACCTTATGTAGGCTAATAATAAAATGCCGCCTATAATAATTGTTATAGGCCATCTTAGTACCATGGTTTTAATAAAACACAATTATTTTAAAATCCTAGATTATTGATCACGCATGCAAAAATTTTTTAGCGGGGTCGGGAATGAAAAAATTATTTATATTTCCGATTTTGTTATTAAAATAAAAAAGGGTACTCTCTAAAAATGAATTAGTCAAAAATGACTTATTTAATAGTTATTAGTGGCTGCTTTTTCACTTGTACCATGGTTAACCATGGAATACCATGGTATCACAAAATTTAACAGCCAATTCTTATGTAAATTGTCCCCTGAATCCGAAAATACCGTCAAAAATTATAAAAGTGGAGCAGTTTTTAAGATATATATATATCTTAAAAACTGCTCCACTTTTATAATTTTTGACGGTATTTTCGGATTCAGGGGACAATTTTTTATATAGCCAATTACATATTTAATGAAAAATTGAATAAATCTCAAAAACTGTTTTTTACTACTAACTACTTTTTTAACTTTTAAATACATTTTCGGATTCAGGGGACAATTTTACATAATAATTGGCTAGTAAATTTTGGGATACCATAGTATCCCATTGTTAACCATGGTATAAATGAAAAAGCTGCCAATATTAACTATTAAATTAGTCATTTTTTAGGTATTCTATGTTTAATAATTATAATTATTTAATTTAATTTAATAATTGTAATATTTAACCTACTTAAAAAATGAGCCTTCTGCCTGGGCGCATATTTGCTTCGCGGCGCCCTAGGCCATGGCCTGGGTTGGCCTATAGGTTAATCCAGCACATAACTGTTTTAAGAATATTAACTCGATATAACGTTTTTTTTTAAATATAGCAGTCCTACAAAATGCATTAGACAGGATGCTTATGTCTAAACGCCAACTCCAGGATGTCTTCTAAAATTCAGGAATCCTTGTAATCCTACAAAATAGAACAGTAACCAGTAAACAGTAACCATTAGGGTGGTAGCTTATAAAGCTTCGTTTTGATGAAAAAACACTGGGAATTTTTTTTTTTTAATTAAAAATAACACGTGCCTCAAGACGATCTAAGTTAATTTTTTGGTATAAACATGTCTTTTCTGAAAATATGGAATAATATTTTTTTGAGATTAAAAAATTATTAACAATGAAATAACTTTACCTTGGAGTGAAGAAATCTGGATATTAAAATTACGTTTGTACTAATTTAGTTTTAAAATAAAAATATCTTTTTTTTATTTAATAGACCAAATCAACTGGGAAAAATTTTGAATTTAAATTTTTGTCTATTGTTATATTGATTAACTATTGTTTTTTTATTGATTTAGGTTCTATAATTGTTTATATTTCGAATAAAATTTTATTTTTCATAAAAAATGCCAAAAAAAACATGATTATACAAAAAAAATTAACTTAGACCGTCTTGAGGCACGTGTTGTTATTAATTAAAAAAAAAAAAATTCCCAGTGTTTTTTTCATCAAAAAGAAGCTTTTTAGGGGGCGTCGCAAAAAATTTAATTTTTAACGACCACCCTAGTGACCATTGATGCGCAGAACAGTATCCACTCAATAAACTACTGGAAATAATATCGTTGATGTGACAAAAATAACCATTGCTGTTGTCAAAGTAACCAGTGAGGTTTTATTATAAATCGTATGATTTCAAATAGAACGTTGACGTTCACATTGT